TCTGCCACAGAAGCCTTTAAAGTTCCCTCCACAGATTTGTTTAAATTTTCATCATGTGGATAATACTTTTGAATTAAACAGCTGTTAATTCTTAAATTGTATTTTAAACAACACACGTTTATTGGGAGCTATTGAATTGTCTAAAAGAAGTATTTGCAATGTTATTTACTGATTTAAAAATTGATTTTCTTCTGTATCATGCCATGTTTTGCAATATAACGTTCCATTACGAAATCAGTTGACAATAATTTTATAGTAACTCTTACAATTATTTCGTATCGAATCATATCTTATATCTATTGTACGGGTTGGTGTCTGCCTTTATTACCACTTTTGCAGATATCTCTCGGTTATCCGAGAGACTATCGTGACGAACAACTTCTTACCTATAATGTCTAACAATAGGAAACAATCTTTAACTCTAAACTAAAATAGCACATTATTATATTATTTAAAATTTTGAAAATCCGTATAACAATGATATTACTTTAAATTTGCAAAATAAAACATGATTAATTCAAACAAAAGTTATTCCTATGATAAATTTTGGTTAACGGTTTCCTAAGACGTCCCCAATCTGATTATTATTCTAGACAGGGTTCATGAGATTATTGTCATAGATATTTTCAATCATTGGAAAAGTCTTTGATTGTGTAATACAATACAAAATAATACAAATGCAGAAGGGCACGTTGTCCATATTAGCCGTGTCCATATTTTGTTAAATTAATATTAGTGTAGGCCTACAGCAACTTAATACAACATTTTACAATGTTTATGTAGACATATGTGCATGATTTAAAAAGTCACTAAACTGGAAAACTGCAATATACTGCAAACATTTCAGAGTGGTTACTTCGATGTATTTATTCAGCTTAGTGAAAACATAATAAGGGTATGTGTACAAATAAGAACTTCAACTTTTAGAAACTTTGAATGTTATTAGACTAACGAAGAGGGTTCTGCATGTTAAATATCGCTACTCAGCATCAAAAACCATTTAATTTATGTGGACTGAGCAGCAGCCTAAAAATACTATGTAACTTACTTATACAGTTACAAAATGCCCAAACTCGCATTTATAATTCGGCTTATATATTTCCCCAACAGATTAATTATCTGTAGAAGAAGTTCATTGAGCTCTTATCGTGTCTAATAACATCCGAACACAGAAACCTTGCCTAGAATGGTACCGGTACCTATCTTTTGACAAATTATTTGCAGTGGCCTATATTACGGACCGTGGCCCACTGGGTTAGTAGCATTTTTGAAAATAACACGACATTTTGCCTGTAAAAAATGGCCCAATGAGTAAATACTATTTGATCAGCTACTGCAATGACAGAAAGGTCATATTCCTTTTAAACTAGACCACATCATCCTTTATACGATACGTTGATTAACAATGCATTTTAACATTAATATTTACGTAACAGCCAATTTACAGTATTTTTTCTTTTTGGAAATGCCACTTTGCTATGTCATTTATTTGCATTATTTGTTGCCAATGAAGCCGCACGCCCATATAAACGAAGAGGCCCCTAACCGTCGATTTCGACGGGTTTCTCCTAGTATATTAGGATAGTTTAGATTTAGTGACTTGAGTTAGTTTGAAAATCATGTATCATGAAACTCGCTCGTAAATAAAGGCATTTTTATTTATTTATAAACATTTTTATTTTATCTGGGGTTTTTAATTTACGACAGTTTTTTTTAAATACCCCCCAGACCGCAATCTTGCAGACTAAGCAAATTTTATTTTTGTCTGATTGGATTTTAACCAAAAGTTTTCCTTAAACATGTCAGATTTATTCCCTGCATCAGGTTGAACGAGTACTTAGTTTTGCTGATACAGGGAATGAAAGAGGTTTAAAAAAACGATTTTCTCCATAAGAACACAAGGGAAATTCAAATGTGGAGTTGTTTTTTAATTTAATCTGTAACCGTAAAACAAGCTTCAGTGTACCAATTTTTTTAGATCCATACGATGCGGTTGTAATGAAAATCAGTTAGGCACCCCCAAATTAGATATCGGTGCAGTTGGGCATCTCCTTAGGAGATTACGAGGCTCCTCAGTGAAAGAGTAGGTACCTATTTCAAAGAGTAGTCGTTTTACTTACATATCCTCTGAGTGCGTCTCTTGAAAGCCTTTGATCACCTTTAAATAGTTCAGAAATCAGTTGTGTCATCTCTTGAGATGAAATTCCAATGTCCGAAAACCCTGTATCCAGAATAATTGTGCTGAATCCCCTAGATCCACTGATAAGTGGAGCATTTCCAACAAATAACCTATTTTGCAAACAAATATTTTTGGTTAAAAAGTGTAGGTCAAGGTAGATGTTTGAAAGTAGTTCAATACAATTAGTCAGGTTTAACAATTTTTTGCTGGTTTACCAACTGCTCAAAGTTTGTCTTTATAACAAAAACGAGCCTTTGTCTTGGAAACACAGAGTAGAGAGCGGTACTGTTTATAAGTACACTCAATACCTTACCTTACCGTCTTAGTAACTATTAAGTAACCTATTAGCCTATTAACTAACTATTAAGTAACTTAGTAACTATTAGTAACCATATATCACTTAAAAATTAAATTATATACTACAAATGAAACATTTATGAATCACCTCACCAATCTGTTTATGGTTTGGAAAAGTTGAAGGCGATAGACAAGTTAAAGTCATCCTCAGTAGAGACCAGGGAGTCAACCCCTGGTTTTTAATCAAAGCAGTTGGTTAAAAGAACAGATTCTAAGTACAGTAACGGAGTTAGGGAGTGCTAAGTAAATAGTGTCAGACGCATGCGTCCACTCGTTTTCCGAGATTTTTACATTGCGATTTGACATGGAACCAAGAAACTAAGGACTAAGGGGGTACAAAATATTTTTCCTACAGTCACCCGACAAAGTTGGCTTCCTTGCACTGATTATAGTACAGAAAGCAGCTAATTGTTGCATTTACTTACTTTGTCACACCGTTTATTCGGTTGTCTGTGGTTTATACTTTCTCGCACGGTTTATACTTTGGCCCACACCAGTATTCCAACCAAACAACACAAAACAGCGTGGTTTTATTATGCACGTAATCTGTGTACACTTGGAAATAGGTTGGCAACACTTAAGGATACTGCTACTACGATCAGCTGATTGACAATTGATACTACGATTTAACTTGTTATTTCGTATTTCTATTCTATTTTCGTTCATCGCTTGGTTTGAACATAACCTCTAAAGTGTAGTATTTGAAAGAATAATTATAAGTGTGCCTAACATGTTTGAGAATGATTAACTCAGTGATTGTGAATACATGTGTACACCAGAAGAAATATGTAGCAGAAACTGCAAAACATGTTTCATTAAATTTATTTCCTGAAAAATCAAGAAAGAAGTATGAACGAGCATACGAACTGTTTTCTTCTTGGTTTGAAGTAAGAAAGTTACAAAATTACTTGTTTATTCTGTTTATACTGGTTATTACTGTTTATACGTGTGCTCTTAAAAATAAGTAACACCCTAGACATTCCAGTTCCTATAGATCGTTAAAGTTGTCGCCAGGGTTTTAATCAAATTTACACAGTTGATGTGAGCCACCTACAGTTTGCACTGATATAAATTACTGATTTCTGCTTATAACACGATGGTTTTCACCAACTCAAACTGATGAAATGACTTATTATGAGCTATAGCAACTGTTATGACCCAGTAACTATGTCAGAAACAAAAAATAAGGTACAAAATAATAGAGTTTTAGACACTAGAGAAATCTGTTACTGGCTTACACAACTACATTAGTTATTAGCACGATTACTAGAAAAATACTTCTAGTATTCGTGGTTATTAGTAAATATTGGCAACAGCTGATCCATATGGATGGGATGTCTTCACCTAAAGATTCTACGACTACAATCAGCTGGTGCAATGTTTCCCATTCCATTCAACGCTTGGGTTTAACCTTCGTGAGATACCTAACCACATATTTTTTTCTAATTTGTTTTAATTGTATTTTTGTTTTGCTATCCTACAGTCCAATACTATAATAGCATAGCCTGTTTGTAATCCAGACGTTCAAAGGCTGGAGGAGAGAAAAGTTCTGTGCAAGTGGCACTTAAACTAAAGTCCATAAAAGTGTATCTTATTTTTGTTTGATTGCATAATTTTTCATTACAGAGTTGTTATTATTTCAGCGATCAAAAATGTCTATGGCTTGTAATAAAAATGTTTTTCATAAACTATAAACTGTTTGTTGACGATGTTGTTTTAACGATTAAACCCAATTAACCACAACCGAGCAAGGCTCGGTCCCCCGGTACTAGTAAATGATTTAAATTACCTAATTTTAAGTTTTTAAAATTGTATATATGTTTATTTCAAAATACTTTGTAATACTATTTAATTCTAAAATTGTTCTGTAAAAAACTGCCTGGACGCGTGGTGTGAAAAGGCCTTAACCTAAAACATGTTTACGGTTTGAAAGACTAATTATTTCTATGCTTTATGGTAACTGTAGAAAAAATACAATATGTAACACGAGTGCAAAGTTCTACTTCACACACTAATAACTGTTTTTTGCCGTACAAAAAGGTACAAATATATTAGTGGTTAGATTTAAAAAAAATATATGTCTTGTCCAATTGTCCCCAATTTTGCCATCATTTTTTGTGTTTTTTGGTTAACAAAAGTGGTACAACAGTTTTGTTTGCGGTACAAACAAGCACAAAAATAGCACAACAATATAACGTGGTTTGGATTTTTAAAATTAAGATGTAAATTTGATTTTTATTACAGTACCTCGGGGAACAACGTGACATAGTTTAAGTATTTATTTTTACAGAAGTACCTTACGTAGAATGAAACTTTGAACATTTGAATGTATGTACTTTTTTTCTAAACTGTGTTTAACTTTCTGTTAAGCTCCTAACTCAAGTGTCAAGCATCTAAACTGTATCAATAGTGAAGTTATGGGCAGAATCTGTCCGTAAAAGGTCCAATTCCTATCCTGCGACTGTTACGACTCTAGTCGCTCGGCTGAAAAAATAGACTGTTTCAATGCAAAGTTAAATACAACCCATTTATATCGAGCGTCTAAAGCCGCGCGACTGAAGCGGCTGTAACGAATTTATAGTTTATACAAAACGGAGTTTGGGATGTGTACCTTCATGGATGATTCAAAGTTGATTGAACTGGTTCGTCACGACCCATCCGTTTTCAACCCCAAGCACCCCCTATATTCGAACAAGATGTCTCTGAATGAGAATACTCTGAAATCCCTCTTTTCACCGTACCATGAACAATGGATTGGGTTGTTCATTGTTTTTTACCATTCACATTAATATTTCCTTTTCCTCGTCTTCTCCAAGTAATATATTCGATGCCAACTGTGCTTATTCCATGACGGTCGAGAGTGCAGCTGCACTATTCACTACTCGCGGGAGTCGCGGCATAGGTCTCGAGCCGTACGGCTCTAAACGCGCGGCTCTTATCAGTCGCCACAAAACGCGCACAGACGCTCCGCCCGAGCATTTTCACCGTCGCGTGGTACGCCGCGCAACGCGTCGTGGGACATAGACTTAAAAGTATTTTCGTTGCATAGCTTAGTTTGTTGTTATGCAATATGACAAAAATTATAGTTCATCACACGGGTATAAAGTGGCTTTTAAACCCTCGCTCATTTTCCGACCTCGGGTTCGCCTCGGTCATAACACTTGAAATCGGGTCGAAAGAGTCACTTTAGGCCCTAGTGATGAAAATATATACTATTAGTTAAATATTTTTTTAAAAACAACGTAGAATTACCCGTTTGTTTCAATTTCCCAGTACGTATAAAACATCTCACCACGGGCATCTCTTCTTGGAGTAACCTTGGCTGTAATTATGTCAGGTCTATTTGGATCCTGCAGATACTTTTCGTTGAAACCTCCAAAATACAGCTCCCCGCTCAAAGGATCGGAAAGGATCGGGGGAGAATCATAAGTCAGATCATCGTTAAGTCTGCCATGTAAACAAAAAAAAACTAAAATAAGACAAAACCAGAATACAAGTCAGGATGGGCCACTATGCTATATCTGTCTTACTTAAACAAATTAAAAAGATTGTATTTTGATAGAGATATTAATAATGTTTCGTTCATGAAATTCACTGGTTTCACAGCTGAATGGAATTAAAAATTAATGAATTGATTAAATACCTCTTTGTTTTAATGTTGTTAGTTATTTTACAACATTGTTATGATAATAATAATAATTGGTAATTATTATCATAAACATGTTATTAAGGTACTAAGGTATGTTGTTAAGGTATTATTTTTACTATGAAGTGTGGCTCCGTCTCCAGAATTAGAATAGACATTAGTGACTTTGGCAATAGCATAGACAAAATATAATAAATATTTAATCCTTTTAGCGAATTTCCCATATAGGGAATAAGCTATTACCGTAGTACTCATGGTAAGACCTGGACGCGGGACCGATTTTTTTTCGTTTTGAGGTCCCTAGAGGCCAAAAACACCATCCGTTCAAATTCATATATATATATATATATTTATATATTTATTTTTTGATAGTTCTGTTCACTTTTTAGGGCTACTTTTTCAATTAATAAGCGAAATATTAAAAACCAGAGTACCCTGAAATTCATTTTTATTTAAACTGATACGTATTTCGGTACTAAGGCCATGATCACAGTATGAGCTATATAAAAGTATGTAAACAAATAAAATAAATAAATAGTTAGTAACATATGTTTTTAACTATTTATTTATTTTATTTGTTTACATACTTTTATATAGCTCATACTGTGATCATGGCCTTAGTGCCGAAATACGTATCAGTTTAAATAAAAACGAATTTCAGGGTACTCTGGTTTTTATTATTTCGCTTATTATATATTTATATATATATATATATATATATATATATATATATATATATATATATATGTGTGTGTGTGTGTGTGTGTGTGTGTGTGTGTGTGTGTGTGTGTCCGTCAGCACGATAACTCGAGCAAAAATGATCCGATTTGGATGAAATTTGGTACAAACGTGTAAACGTACGTTTATTCGAACGAGTTCGCGATCCAGCATGATCGGACCATGGGAACGGGGGTTTACGGGGGGTTTTATGGGGTAAAAATAGGTTTTTCCTATTTTTGACCCAAAAAACATAAAATTTAGCAATTTCTTTCCAAACCATTTTGTAGAGCTTAAAAAAACAAATAATTTAGTATATTGAAGCGTTATTATGCGCCTAATAGTTACGGAGAAAATTCCAAAAAATTGTAAATTTAAAATTCCCATGTTATTTTTATGGAGAATAAGTAAACAGTTGTAGTTTGCTTGTTTGTGAACATATTTTGATCAAATTTGGAAAATGTTTTTATTTCTCACTACCTATTCACATTTTACAAAAACAAAAGTTTTACCCTCCCTGATGCAGCAAACCTAAATACTTGTTAAACCAATTCTATTTAAATCAAGAATAAATGTTATATTTTTAAGTAGACATTTCAGTGTAAATCCAATCAGTCAAATGGAAATTCGCTTAGTCTGCAGGTTTGCTGCGGCGGGGGTATTGTTTATGGTAATGGTTATTTATTGCATTTAAAAAATTTTAGCATAGGCCAACAGTCCTTTAAAACTTTTTTGTTTGAACTAGCTAGACTAATTAAAATTTTAAATCAGCAATTTTATATAGATTTCTCACCTACGTCGCATTCTGGAAAACAACATAAAATATCTCACCTTTCTGCATAAAAGCTCACCGCACCGCACACTTCAGTTTGTGAGAAAATGGTTTCTAAAGGTGATATCACTTTATCTTTTTCGAGTTTGCTTCCCATGGTAAAGCCGAGTCCAAAAGTACCATCGGGTTTTCCTTGTCCTCTACTTTCTGATACTTGGTCAGCAATACTGATCAGGGTTTTGATTTTGAATTTCTTTTCTCCGCTCCCTATCTGCAATTTGTAATACGGCAGCACTTTACTTTACATAGAACCTTGTAAATAACCATATAATATTAGAGTTGAAAGGATTGTTTTTGTTAGTCCACTCCCCATTGGAATAAAAGAGTTACGCAACAGTAAATTTAATATAAATATATAAACCATAGACTTAGATAATGAAGCAAAATGTTTAATGAATCCCACATTCAAGGAGACCCCAAATCTCCATTTATCAGCAGGACTAATCTAGTTTCACGATTCATGTTAACATTTTGACTCGATAAACAAAAGTTTGAACAAAATCATTAATATTCCAGCTTGAATTATTGTCAAGTTATAAAAGTACAATGCCACCGGCTAGTTAGAATTTTTCGAACTTTTAATCTTATATACTGAATATGTTTTTTCTATGATACTAACTATCTTACGTTTCATACATAAATACGATAAATACTACTTAAATAATGTATTATTTATGATTATTTATCATCATGATTTATTTAACAATGTTAAATGTTTATAAATATAAGTTGCCTCACACCCAGGTCTCAAATAGCCTACCTATGCTGGACGGTTTTCTTATTATAACAATAGTATGACAACTGTACATTTCTTAAATAAAGCACATTGTAAAAGGCATGTGCCTTGGCTAAGAGCTATGTCCATTGTTATCTTTAACTATTACTGTTAATAGAACTAAAAATTCCATCTCCATGTTAACCTCGTGCCAGTTTTTTTTTTTTTTTTTTTTTTTTTTTTTTTTTTTTTTTTTTATCAAAATGGACGTGAGTTGAGCCACCAATATATGAATTATTAATTTATGGCGAAGACAGAAATTGTCTAACCAAGCCAGACCGATAGGATAACTTTTCGTAAGCTATCAGTAACGTAAATACTTAATTCTGAAATGGCGACCATTCAAATGTAAGTATTTTAAGCCAAGAATAAATCGAGATGATTGTAGGATGAGTGCCGCGATCTTGTAGTCTTGTTTGTGACTAAGGCCGACATGTTCCTTACACACAGCTGTTAATAATATAGTACAGTCAAAATATGTTTTGACCCAAAAAAAATTAGCACAACCGGGGAATTTGGTACAGATGTTGGGTGTACCTTCCCTTTGAACATACTAAAAGTCCCCTAAAATTGAAGCTGTGCTACGGCCGCCATATTGGAAAATGGCGGCATATTTCTGTATTTTTCGCTATAGTGACTTTATTATTAGAGATACAGGAAAAAGCTAAATATACAAAGTGTAGGTCATCTAAAAATACACATTTTTTGTATTTACCATCTTTCTCTAAACCCAACGGTTTTTGAGTTATTTGTTATTAAGTATATTTAGTTTTTTCTATTTATCAAAAATAGGCGAAACACATGGAAATTGACCGTTACTTTCAAGGATTATGATAATTTATCCTATTTAGTTAAATAATGTGATACTATAAAATCTTAAAATTTAAGCTTATTTTATGAGTAAAACAACTCCGCCACAGCAAACCTGCAGACTCGGCAAATTTCCATTTGATTGGATGTTTTATTAAAAAATGTATATAAATAAAATTAGGTTAAACAGGTACCTAGGTTTGCTGCTACAGGAAGGTTATTATAGTGTTTTTTTTTTTAAATATCAATACCTTAATATAAAATAACTAATTTTCCAAGTTTGATCAAAATATATCTATAAACAAGCAAACTGCAACAGTTAACTAATTTTTAAGAATAGCATGGGAGTTTTAAATTTACCATAAACTAATTTGAATATACAAATTTTGGTTGTGTTTACTAAAAAGATGGCGATTATTCATCACGATTAGAATATTAACCAAATGGGTTTTCAAAAGGAGATGGAGCCTGTTATTTAAGTAATATTAATTCGTACCAAGCACCGAAAATATTGTATGCAGTAAGGTAATCTACCATATTTTGTAAAGTACGCAATAGTCATATAAATATTTTATCTTATTTTTTATCCATTTAATAGTTAACATTTTAGTATTTTGATGGCACCACCACACTAACTAACTATACTTGACATCCCATTGTAAATTTGGAAGGGTGTTTTTCGTGTCTAGTTCATGTTGGTGACTAATTAAACATGGTATAGTTAGTTTTATCAAAAATCGGTGAAACCCATCGCAATCGACGGTTACTTTCAAGGTTTACGACAATTATTCATCCCACTTAGTTGATATCAGAGTGATAGTGGTAGTGCCATAAAAATATTAAAATGTTAATTTATTAAATGGGTACAAATGAGTATAAAATATTAATATGACTATTGCGTAATTTACGAAATATGGTTGATTTCCTCACTCCATACAATATTTCCGATACTTGGTACGAGTTAATATTACAGTTCTTAAATTACTTGCTTCATCTCCTTTTGAAAACCCCTTCGGTTAGTATTCGAATCGTGACGAATAATCGCCATATTTTTAGTAAACACAACCAAAATTTGTATATTTAAATTTGTAAATTGTAAATCTTAAGCTACCATGCTATTATTATGAATTAGTTAACTGTTGCAGTTTGTTTGTTTATAGATTTATTATGATCAAACTTGGAAAATTAATTATTTTATACTAAGTTATTGACATTTTACTAAAAAAAAACACACTATAATAACCTACCTGTAGCAGCAAACCTAGGTATCTGTTGAATCTGATTTCATTTAAATACAATTAATAAAACATCCAATCAAAAGGAAATTTGCTGAGTCTGCAGGTTTGCTGTGGCAGAGTTTTTTTACTCATAAAATAAGCTTAAATTTTAAGATTTTATAGTATCACACTATTTAACTAAATAGGATAAATTATCATAATCCTTGAAAGTAATGGACAATTTCCATGTGTTTCACCTATTTTTGATAAATAGAAAAAACTATCTATACTTAATAACAAATAACTCAAAAACCGTTGGGTTTAGAGAAAGATGGTAAATACAAAAAATGTGTATTTTTAGATGACCTACATTTTGTATATTTAGCTTTTTCCTGTATCTCTAATAATAAAGTCACTATAGCGAAAAATACAGAAATATGCCGCCATTTTCCAATATGGCGGCCGTAGCACAGCTTCAATTTTAGGGGACTTTTAGTATGTTCAAAAGGAAGGTACACCCAACATTTGTACCAAATTCCCCGGTTGTGCTAATTTTTTTTAGGTTTATGGAATTTTTCTCTTATTTTTACTGCACTAATAGCCCATACAGTGTAACTAGGGACCTAACAGTTTATAGTAGAATCTAAATCAACTTTTTGCCTTGTAATTAAATAATTGTTCTAATTATCAGGATAGTACTGCGGATAGTCGTAGTTCTCACAAGTGCGGACGTTAATCCACACCATGGAGTATCACATCCAGATTGCATGCCAATAAATATCCACAATTCGTGACCTCCAAATAGCTGGATTGGATACAGGACTGTTGCGGACACTAGGGATTAATGCTACCTGACAAGGGTTTGATAGGTCTCTCTCTATTAATATTTCACTGCCGGACAACTGCGGACACATGTTCTGGAAAGAGTCTGATTTCCACCTAAAGAACAGATAGACAGACAGAACATATACAGACATACAGAACAGATACATGACATATGATTTTAAAACTGATTTCCATCACACTTTACACAATTTACACACTTTACACACTAGACTAACCTAACCTAACCTTAAAATCATATATCATTACCTATGTATATGTTCTTTAGGTGGAAATCAGACTCTTTCCAGAACATGTGTCCGCAGTTGTCCGGCAGTGAAATATTAATAGAGACCTATCAAACCCTTGTCAGGTAGCATTAATCCCAAGTGTCCGCGCAATTGTCCGCTTTTAAGACGTGTCCCCAATTGTCTGTGTTTCCTCAACTGTCCGGATATCCCTTATGAAAAAGTTTATATATGGCCATATACAATTTTTTTATCTGGTTATATTTGGTTTTGGACCAAATATAACCAGATATGATCATTTAAAGAATCCCCCATGTATGGACATTTTTAATAAAAAATATATAAATTAATAAAAAATAGCAATTAAACATATTTTAACATTAAATTGTATCAACTTTGCATTAAAACTATAATAAAAATTTTGAACTCAAAAATTTAAAAACAAAATTTTCAAATATCAGCTTGGTGATCGAACCCGGGACTCGAGGGCGAGAGTCCGCCCCTAAAGCCACTACACCACAACCGGTTTAAATAAGGTGGCTTACGGAAACCCATTACGAATAAGATAAGGTGTATTTGGTCTCGTAAACAAGATTTTTTTTCTTTTTGACATTTTATGTAAATTGAAGAATGTTATTATTAATATAGCCTAACTACGTGACATTGACATTTGCGGCTGTTTGATAGCAAAGGTACAATTAATTAATTATTAATATAATATCCCTACTACACTTACAATTTTAAAATTATACGTCAGTTTTATGATTTTGTTGTGTTATAGTAAAATTGTACAATAGATGTATGTACAGGATTTTGTCATCTGGGTTCAAATCTGGATGCTTTATTACTTTACTACTAATTACTTAAGGAGAAATGACTATATTATCTGCCCCCCTACTGTACCACATTTCAACTCAATCAGTTCAGTAGTTTGTGCTTGCGAGAGCAACAAGAAAATACACAAACTCACCTACTTTAAGATTTATAATATTATAAATCCAGTTACATAATCCAAATGTGGCAACAATTCCTTATAATAATTTCAGTTATTGCCAAAAAATCATTTATACATGAGCATAAATGGAAAATTATTATTCCATATGAGGAATTTAATTCCATACCTCTGGGAGTCATGGCCATATATAAACAATAATTCCATATATAGAAAACATGTATGGCCATATATGGCCAATAATTCCATATATAAGCTACATATATGACCATATATCACCATACATACATACATACATCACCATATATGGATTCAACCACATCTGGCCATATATGCTTCCATATATGGTCATCAAAAACCATATGGCCAGAAATTAAAATTGTCGACTTCGCTGGATTACAGCAGGACGCCACCGTACCAGTCTAATAAAACTAACGGAGGAAATATAATTTTAGACAATGGTGAACTTTGTAAGTGGCTTATTCATACTGTGTGCATTTTTAGTAAAAAGTCCCTGCTGGTCCGTGTAGGTGGGTTGTCTTCGTCAATAACAGAAAATCAACACTATATAAACATTGCATTACAAAGTTTTTTGTTGTATTTACCGTAATGAAATCTATTCCTGCGTATCCTTTTAGTTTTGATCCGGATGCAAATTCACCATCGAACAGTAGTTCCTCCGGAGGGCGTTTAAAGGTTCTGCTGTTATCAGGGTTAAATGTTTTAGGTCTGAATTGTGGGTTGAGTTGTCCTGGAAATATAATAATAGTTAATATTGTCTTAAGTTACTATGAACAAATACAACACCTATACGTCAATCCCCGAGCGGAAATGGAAAGGAAAGAATAAAAACCCCCTGTCACACACACATGCACACAATTATTAATTAAATTTGTGTTAATTTGCATTGAATTTTCTTTACTAGGTGGCGTTCGCAGAGGCATCCACAAAATTGAGCGGAGTCATCAAGGGTTCATATTATATTGTTTTTGTCATACTGCAGTAAAAACAGTCGTTTTTAATGCATGCGTTGCGGTTCTAAAGTAGCATTTTTACTCTTTAGGGAGTAAAAATCGTTTTTAGCCTCTATGGAGTAAAAATCAGCTGTTGTCAACTCAGTTGTAAATTTTGATCGTAAAAAATTGCATGTATCGAAAATATGTATCGATTCGTGCTTCGTAATCATTTTTACCTACAGTCTACAGTCTTCCCATAGCATTTCAGCATTGCAGAAACATTAATCCATTCCCACACTCAACACTACTCACCTTTACTACTTCCTTCACCACCCCCTACGTCGTGGACCTGTTTCCCTCTCTTCCCATAGCATTTTAGGATTGCAGATACATTAATGTACTTGCCAAAGACAGTTCCCACACTCTGCACTGCTAGCCTTACTGATTCCTTTACCATTTCCTACGTCAGATACCTGTTTCTTTCCCTTCTCATAGTATTTTAGGGTTGAAGATACATTAATCTAACTGCCAGAGACGATTCTCACACTATGCTCATACTTTACTACTTCCTAAGCAACTTCCTGCGTCGGGGACCTGTTTTCATCACTTTCCATAGCATTTTAGTATTTTAGATACCGGTACGTTAATCTAATTGCCCCAAACATTCCACACACACCGCACTGCTAGCCTTTACTACTTCTTTCACCATTTCCTATGTCGTGGACATGCTATGGAAGATACATTAATCTAACTGCCAGAGACGATTCTCACACTATGCTCATACTTTACTACTTCCTAAGCAACTTCCTGCGTCGGGGACCTGTTTTCATCACTTTCTGTTGCGAAGCCAAGGTCTACTTTAAAATAATAAGACACAGACAGACATCTTGACAACCAACGTGTATTTTTATAGCTCTGCATGAGGGCGGAAATTACAGTAGTGCCAACACAATAGCATACAATATAATACAGCATAGAGTAGGCCTAAACCAGTAAACAGTAATACAAAACATATATGTGACATCCCTCTTCTTTTGGGAAAAAACAATAACCAAGATTCCTGCGTAAATACAAATAAAAATATTAACATCATCCTATGATTGAATAGGCTAGGCCAGATAAAAATAAATGTATATATATATATAATAGGCCTATCTGCTGCTGTACCTAATACAAAACATAAATTAACCTCAATTTTTTTTTTTATTTTTTTTTTTTTTTTACAAGTCCAACCTAAAAGGCCTAACTATTTCACGCCCTAACCGGGTTCTGTAAGTCTTAGGTGTTACTGACCTATTTGGAGTTAGAGCGGTCTGACTTGGACTTTGAATAGACCTGTCTGGACTTTGAGTTACAAACTCAGGTGATAACAGCTTAGGGCTTTGCACTTTACTCTTAAAATTACCACAATCAAAGCTTAATTCTGTGTTCTGATACAAGTCATTACCATGTAGGCCTACTTTAAATATAAACCTTCGATTGCGTACATACTCTCTACCATCAGATGTTCTCAACCTATAAGCCCTAGGCTGGTTACACAACTCAACTACTGTCGCTGCTGTCCATTCAGATCCAGCATACAACTGAAACCTAACGCTGTCTCCCACTTTAAGTGGTGGTAAGGGTTTAGTCTTTTGATCAAAATAAGATTTTTGACTAGCTTGCCTTTGTTTCAATACATTTGTAACATTACTTTTAGAAACAACTGTAGGTCTCAATAAACTAGGCTTAACAGGCAACAGTCCTCTTAACCTCCTACTCATAAGCAATTGTGCTGGAGATGGCAAATCTACTGCAGGTGTGTTTCTTAACTCTAAAAGAGCTAAAAACACATCAGTCTTACTGAGTTTACATTTTTTCATGAGATTTTTAACAGTTTGTACATTTCTTTCAATGAAGCCATTCCCTTGAGAATGTTTAGGACTTACTATTTCTAATTTGAAACCCCACTCTCTTGCAAACATTTGGAACTGATTTGAAGTAAACTGAGTTCCTGAGTCACATCTTACAACATAGGCTATTCCATGTCTAGAAAATATAGATTTCATCGCTAAGATAACACACTCTGTACTTAGGCTAGTTAACGAGATAAGCTCAACATACTTAGAGTAGTAATCAGCTAACAAGAGGTAATTTTTTGAATCAAACGTAAAAATATCTACCCCTACCTTAATCCAGGGTTTGTCAGGTAAGCTTTCATTACACAAAGGTTCTTTCAAGTTACTGTTACGAAATCGTAAACACACGTTACAATTGCTTATCATATTTGAAATGTCACTACTCATACCTGGCCAAAACATAACCTCTCTGGCACGATTTTTACACTTGTCGATACCTGAATGTGCATAATGAACCCTTTCCAACATTTCCTTTCTTAGACTATAAGGAACAATAAGCTTGTCACCTTTCAGTAATACCTCTTTACACGCTGTGATTTCATCTTTTAACTTAAAATATTTCCAAACACTTGGGTCAACTTTAGACTTTACATTAGGCCAACCCTCATTAACATATTTTAGTAAAATACTCAATTCCCTATCATCTTTTGTTTCTTGTTGAAATTGCTTGAATTTACCTTCCGTCATGGGAAGTGTTTCAATAACCGAAAATATTTGTGATTCTATTTCCTGGTCTATGCTAGATTCAGTTTCGCTTAAATAGGCCCTGGACAAAGTGTCTGCAAAATACAAACTTTTACCTGGTTTATACACTAGAGTAAAATCAAATTTTTGCAACCTAATCAACATTCTTTGCAATCTAGCAGGACACTGATGCATAGGCTTCTTACAAATGACCTCCAGTGGCTTATGATCAGATTCTATAAGAACATCTTTTTTACCATAAATATACTCATAAAACTTTTCGCAACCAAATAAAACAGCGTACAACTCCTTTTCTATGTTAGCATACCTCTTTTGTGTGTCATTGTATGCTTTTGATGCATAAGCCACTGGTAAATCATTTTGCATGAGGATTGCAGCACACCCATTTTGACTTGAATCAACTGATATTTTTACTGGTATTTTACTATCATAATATTGTAATATAGGCTTACTTATCAAACAATTTTTTAAGTCATTGAACGCTTTACCTTGAGCATCATCCCAATGCCACTGAACCTCCTTTCTTAACAATACTCTCAACGGAGCAGTTTTCTCAGAAAGTTTAGGAATAAATTTTCCCACATAAGTCACTAGACCTAAAAAACGTTCAACATCTTTTTTGCATGAAGGCACTTGCATGTTTTTAATGGCTTCGATTTTTCGATCATCGACCAATACGCCATCACCCGACAGAACATGACCCATGTAAGTAACTTTATCAAGAGAAAATTTACATTTGCTTAAATTAAACCGGACATTTTTTTCCTTCGCTCGCTCCAAGACTTGTTTTAAGCGACGGTCATGTTCCTCTACACTAGATCCCCATACCAATAGGTCATCTATATACGTACTAATCCCAGTTATACCTTCGAATACTTCTTTGAATTTTTTGTGAAAAACTTCAGGGGCAGATTTGATACCAAACGGCAAACGCAAAAATTTGAAACGCCCCCAAGGAGAGTTAAAAACACAAAGATCAGAGCTTGGTTCATCTAACTCTATTTGATAGAAGCCATTAAATACATCCAATATACTAAAACATTTAGCACCTTTTAACTGACCAGTTAAATCCTCAATGGTTGGTAGAGGATAGTACTCCCTTTTTATGGCATTGTTTAAATCCTTTGGGTCCAGACACAATCTTAACTTACCATTAGGCTTGTTGACAACAATAAGTGAATTTACCCAATCTGTTGAGTAATCTACTTTTGCAATGATTTGTTCAGTTGTTAATCTATCTAACTCTGATTTTACCTTATCCTTTAACGCCAAAGGTATCCTTCTGGGAGGATGCACTACAGGTGTAACATTACTATCAAGTGTTATATGATATTTACCCTCAAGTTTACCGATACCATCAAAGAGATCTTTGTACTGATTGAGCATAGTTTCTATTTCTACCCCTAATGGTTTATTCCGTATAGAACTAACTTGTTTGTCTTCACCTTGCTGTACGGGTCCTACGCGTTGTAATAGATTAAAATCTTTACATGATTGCAAACCTAGCAATGGGGGTGCAATTACATCAACTACGTGAAATTCTAGTACCTTAGAAATATCACCATATTGTCCTCTTAAAAAGCATTTACCAATTACAGGCAAATTCTCTCCAGAATATGTTGTGAGCTTTGAGTCAGAGTCCAGAATAGGCTTACTTTTGTTACATAGGTGTCTGAATGTCTTTAACGGTAGAACGTTAGCTTGTGCCCCTGTATCTAACTTAAAACTAACAAAACTGTTATTAATTTTAAGTTTGGCTCTCCATTCATTAGGCCTATTAGACCCATTAGGCTTAGGCATAGACTGACATTCATCTACTACACAACCTAAAAATAAATCATCGTCACACCTAGGCCCATGACCACTAACATTACACTCATTATCTAAATCTACTGCTAGGTCATGAACAGGTTTATTATTTTTAAATTTACTTCCCTGATGTCCCATTTTCATTTTACTCCTACACTGTGTTGAAAAATGATTTAATTTCTTGCATGAATTACAACGCTTACCGTATGCTGGACACTTGTTTTTGAAGTGTACATACCCACAATTGCTACATACGTCTCCCTGCTTCACTGTCCATGGAGGCTTGGGCTTCGCTTTGTTGGTGAATGTCTGCTGCTGCTGACTTGGTTTTCTCACTCTGTCGACACTAACGGAGCTGTCCTTCTCACCTCCTGTCCTCATCT